ATATTTGTATGAAGATTTTTTAATTTAATTTTAGAATTAATTATGTTTTAAAAATAAATTAAGTTTGATAAAATAATTTTACTTTTACATATTTTTATCACAAAATATTAAAAATTTTCTTAAACTTATTATAATATTTCTAAACTAATTGCGTATATCATATTTTTTTATACATTTTATATTATTATTTATTTTTAATAGTATTTTTTTCTTTTAAAAGACAAATATATATCTCAACGACTTGCAAGCAGGTTAGATAATGCTAGTTTGATTTAGATAAATGCAACTGAGAGATATAATTGTTGTCACCAACCAAATGCTAACGATCACTACTAGCAAACAATATTATTTTTTAACAATAATCATCCGTACCTAACAGGTTCTTTTCTCACTGTTGGTTAATTTTGTTTATGCAGGACAACCGTTTCTATATATGATGATGTATATGCCCAATATATATATGTCCCAATGTGTTCCTGGTAAGTACCTCTAATCCACATCTTGTTCAATTAAATTATAAGAAAAAAATATTTATTAATCGGATTCGTATAAAATTAAATGAAAAAATGTTTTAAAATTAAATAAAAAATTTTAAAGTTATATCATTTTAATATATTTTATTGAAATAAACTAAAACATTTAAATTAAGATTTATTTCTATTTTTTCTCTTATTATTTTATTAAAACAAATGTAATTTTAAATGTTTTCTCTATATTAGATATGAAGCAGGCATAAAATTTGATTAGACAAATACAACTCGGATATATAATTGACTTAACAACAATCATCCCTACATAATTTGTCTTTTCTTTTATTAAATTTCTTCTATTACAATAAGTTAACATCATTTCTTTTCAAAATTTTATGATTGATAGAACTACTAGTCCTTCGTATTTTTGAAAAGGTTCAAAGTTATCATTTATTCAATTCCTAAAATATGCAATTGTCCCTAAAATGTTTTTCATCTCCTCGATTAAGTCCTTCCATTAAATCTCAATTACTTGAAGTTAATGCATGGTTTATTATGTCATTGTTGGAATTAACTGTACACAATAAGTGCCTCTCAAAAATTATTTACGAAGCATGAATATGATGATTGATTACTAACAAAAAGTTTATCTAATATGTGTCTTTAATGTAATTATTGCACTCTTTTTATATTAATCATTATTTAAAAATATAAAAACTGTCATTGATTTCATCACTAGTGCTATGTAAATCATTTGAATTACACAGTTACTTAAAAAAGATTAACTTTTATTTTTTTTAATAATAATTAATGAGAAAAAAGTGTAATAATTACACTTTTGGGATGCAGGTTAAAAAAATCCACTAACAAATGGTTTACGCCTTTTGTAATTAAATTGTATGAAAAATATAAAGGTTAATTTTGATTTATTTAATTAGTCAATTAAAATTTTACACTAAACAATTGTACTAAAATAAAGATCAATTTTTATATTTTTT